TTTGGTGAGCTTGTGACGGTAACAATGCAAAATAACAATGACTGTACTAGCACTGAACGACAACAGCACTATTGCCCCTAAACCCTGAAGTACGAAGGGCCCTCCCTAGTGGACTCTAAAGAACTCACGAACACGGTAGATAACTGAGGGGGGGGGTACCATATATATATATATGTGTGTGTGTGTGTATATATATATACTTAGTTATTTATTTACATAGAGATCTATAGAGGACAGCAATCCAGGAAGGAAAGCCCAGAAGGCGAGAAGCCAAAAGGCCAAAAACTAAAACATACCAACAAAACAAAAAACACCTTCAACAAATACAATTCCCTAATTGTTGTGCTGCTTCAATGCATTCCTGGCTTCTATAGGATTCAGCCTCACAAACCATGGTACCGCCGGCGACCGGGATACGGGCATACTTACACAAGTACGGATATGTGTTCGTGCTCGTGGTGCCATTTGACAGGATGAAGCACAAGGAGGAGCAGGAGTCAGGAGCAACCTTCGAGTACAAGTAAAGCAACACCCGGGCGCTCGGAGTCCAAGCCGGAGCAGACGGTCTCGCAGTCCGCATCCCTGGCACCCACAACCTGGATGGGCAATCAGCTCTTCTATAAGTAGGCAACGGCTCCTCTACGGCATGCGAGCCGACACGTGCGTCTGCCATCTGAGGCACGCAGCAGTTACATGTTGCCGTCCAAGTTGCATGTATAAACCTTTAGCTAAGCTGCTATTAAAGCCTTAAGGACTTAAGGGCCATTCACAGCTGTGGTGCCAGGTCACCCATTCGATGGGCGACTCTGCTGGCTCGGCTGCCAGGGCCCAGGCAGAGCATGCCGAGATAAGGACGGTCAGCCCCATTAGTTTGTCTCACAGAGTTCTGTCGCATCTGTCTGCTGCTGGGAGTTGCAGTTGCAAACCTGTTCACCTATCCCATGCCGAGAGCATCAGGTAGCAGGATTGCATTTACAACTGTGATCAAGCGGCTGCAAGTCATTCAGAAAGACGGACGGCCTAGTTAGCAGCAGCCCCACAGCTCCCACAGTTCCACGATGCCTCAGCTGAGCCTCTTGTTGAAGCCTCAGTACGCACTGCATCACACACTGATGCAATTGTTCGCTCGAGACAGCGATGGAGGGTGCTGGTGTGGGGGCCTCCTGTGCTAAAGAAGTCTCGGTTTGCCAAAGCCTTGCATCTCTGAAGTTGGCCAGTCAAGGCTTGTTTGCATACCAAGAGTAATTCAGTAGCGGGGCAAGAGGTGTCGGTGAGTCTTGGCATTTTGAACTCTGCAAGCGGATCGAGACCACCAAGACCTTAAAATGGCAGTTCATGCCGCGCGGCCGCGAGGAGATGCCCACATTTTGTACAAGTCGCGTGTGGCCCCTCACGAGGCTACCGTGACGACAGGAGAACAGCTGCCGTGTGGAGCTAACGTGCTACGGGCAAGACCATGAATTGCTTACTTATCTTCTAGAGTCAGCCGAATTCAATGCAACAAAGCACTCATGCAAATCGTCGTTGCCTGCTACTGAATGAAGACTTCCAGAGGCATCACCTTCCATTCCCCAGTCATCAAATTGAACCTTTGCAGGAAGATCTGGTCGGGTAGAATTGTCGGGGCAACCTCGTGGGTCAATATGTACAACTGCCCCTGATAACCAGTGGATGCCAGGCACGTCTGGACAGCCTCTGTTCCGTTACTTGGGCCTGGGACCCAATAGCGCAGGGAATCATCCAAGTGCTCGATGAGACATGCAGGAGCAGAACCCCCACCGCAAGCGAAGAGTTTGCCGTTGACGCTGGCTGCAGTGTGACCCTTGCGCTCCGTGGACATCGCTGGCATCTGAGACCAGCGCTGCTTCGAAGGATCGTAGCACTCGACGGTCGCAAGCGGCCCTTCGCCTCCAGGTCGATCAGGGGAGATCCCCCCCGATACGAAGATACATCCAAGATGAGACGTGCATTCATGGTGGTGTCGTCGAACGGACATCCGCGGGAGCTGTCTCCAGGTCTTTGTCCGAGGATTGAAGCACTCGACAGAGCCATGAACTGCCTCTTCCCCGGCCTTTTCCTGTTCAAGATCGTCATTAAGGCCTCCACAGACGTATAGCTTTCCATTCAGGAAAGCAGCGGCATGAAACTCGCGCTTCTTGACCATTGGCGGAAGGTTCTCCCAGGAACCTCCAGTCTTCATGAGCAGCGATGCCGATTTCGTCACACGCCGGACGGCACTTCCAAATCCACCTCGCAACGCGGCTGCACACACAAAGCAGATTGGGACACCTACATAAGTACATGGCCGGCAGGCAGACTCACTTCCAACGAGTAGAGATGAAAGGCAATCTCAGATCCAAATTCAACTTGCCTGCCCAGGTCGGCTTAGGGTTTACTAGTTCGGGCTGAATCAAGATAAGAACATGCAGACCCCGACCAACCATCGACTCTTGCCCTGTGCAAGCTAAGCAGAATGCCTCCGGAAATCACCACCACGTCGCGCTGCTGCGCAAGTGTGGAACGGAAGGTCTGGGTTCGTGGAATGCAATCACCAAGCAGGCGCAATGTTCCTGGCTGCGGATGCCATTCCCACATCTGGGGCCCCAGAGCCAGGTGAACACCCGGAAGTAGTTGCGGGTTGGATCTCAGACCTTTGGCCAGCACCTTACATGTGTTGAAGAGCTCTATGGCCAAGAATCGGTCGGCATACTCCACGCATTGGGTAAGAATTCTTTCCGACCGCATGGCCCGCTGAAAAGAGCACTCCGCGTTGATCGGGTGCAGCTGCTTCATTGTAGAGAAACGCACTTTGTGCAACTCGATAGCCAGTCGACTTGCAGGGACCTGTCCGGACTCATGAAGGCACTTGCACAAAGCGAGGAGCGTCATCTGCAGGTCAAAGCTGTCCGAGAGCTCTGGCACCCCGTGTCGCACCGATACGGCCATGGCTCTCGGGCTCTCGGGGGAAGATCCCCCCCTCCCCCCGCACCGCTACGGCTGCGGCCACAGGGCCTAGGTCCGCCAAAAGCGGAAGCCACAGGGGCCTTTAAACGAAAAGCGGGCGCTCGTTTAAGTGACCTCACAATGTCTCAGTCCCAGTCACTACAGCTCAAGCCACTGTTGACTCAGAAAGCCTGTCACCAGGTGCCGCGCAAAGCTTGTTTCTGCAGCTGCTCCTGTGATAAGAAGCACCAAGCCTGAAATTTGCTCGAAGCCTTTCTTCTCCTGGCCCTGTCTTGTAAACAATGTAACAATGATACTAGCACCTGGCACCTTCGAGTGTCCTCCAGTCTCAGTACTCTGTTCGCCATCGCCCCAACCCGCCAATCTCAGCCCGCCTACTTCCCTCTCTGCACACCGGCTCTCTGTCATTCTCTGTCACTCTCTGCCTCCCTGCACTCACGGATGTCACACACTTACAAACTTACACCTGGTGCTGCGGACAGTTGGCAGATGCTGGCAGCGTCTCCTTCTCTTCTGCCCAGCGCCTACAGTCACGACAACAACAAGCACCGTGTCTTGACAGTTTGTTATTCGAGGGCTCGGCTTTCGCTCGAGCTCATGTTGTTGCTTCAGGGCCTGAACAGCTCGAGAGCATTCGCAATACACTGTAAACCGAACAGCATGGCGTGCACGAGAACAGTATATTATATACCCTTTGTAATCTTATTAATCACTCTTTCCGTTACGCACTTGCATCCCCAAGCAAATCAACAGAAACGCTGCTTGACCAGACGGCAAACGGTGCGAACAACTGAAAAATGTCGAAACAGGGGTCCGGCAATTACTCCACCCCTTCCCACATTTGCGCCTTCTCTCGCCGCAGAAGCTCCTTCCGGCGGAAGCCAACCGAAACAACATAATCAGCAACTTTGCGATGCAAAGAGCAGGACAACTCCGATAGCTGGCATGTGGAGGTTGTAGAGTACTCAAGACGATAAGCATGACAAGACTCACTGCATGTCGTCCTTTCCCCGATAGCATTTGCACCCCAAAGTGGGTGAACTGCAACAAGCACCGGGGCCTGAACTTTTTTCTGGAGCTTCTCACGTGTCTCAATCTCGTTGTTCACGGTCCCCTGACGCCCATCAGCATCTAAGACTACGTTTCTGAAAAGTAATGCACGCAATAAGCAGTCAGCCCACAGTGATCCCTTACCAGGAAGGCCTTCAAGGTTCGTGCCTCTCTTCGCCACTCCACAGCCTCAAGTCCAGATGCGACAATACAAAGGGATGGGAAACTCCACATCTACATAAGCTGCAAGAAATCCCTTGCTCGATACAGGCCTTTCGAAATTCCTCCTGGAGAAACACGGAAATGCGATTTTGTGGAAAAGTCGCATTTTAAATCGCAGGCAAGGCAGCTTCGCACTGTTGGCATGGATCAAAGGATGGCTGCTACTCCGTGGAAGTCCTGAGCCTTCTGGAAGAGCTCTTCAAGACCTTGCAGACAGAAATGATCAGTTTTCCAGCTGTGCGAAAATAGATGGGGTTGAAGTTTTCGAAACCTAGAGGGGGTGAAGCTTCGCATGCGGACATTCGACCAGCGCGTCGGACGCCGCAAAGCCAAGGATGCTCGTCAGCTGCAAGCAAACCGTAAGCCCTAAACTGCCTAGACCCTGGAAATGCAAATTACGAATTTCTGAAACCAAGCTCCAGTATGCTAAACCCGAATCAGAACAGCATCGCTCAGGTCATGGCGCCGTCTTTGGACGCTTGCCTGGCACATCGTTCTTCACTGTGTCTTGGGCATCATGATGTCATCAAGTGTCATCAGATGCCTCCTTCCTCAGCTCTCGCTGAGAGCTGCGCAGCAGCTCATCCTTACTCGAATTTGTGCTTGCATCCTCTGTGACCGTTTCCTGAACAAAGACAAATCTTCACAACCGGGTTGGGCACAAGCTCTTCGCGCAAATGGACCTGCGATGCTGGCTGCTCTTTGCACGACTGCCACAGGAGCTGCAACGACCCCTTGTTGAGAACTAGTCCGATCTATCCACCATTTTATCCACCATTGATTCCAAGTCTTGAGTCGAAAAGTACGTTGTGTCTTCCCTCGCCCACCTTGGCTGCAACAACCTGACAGCAAAGCAGCCCAGGCAAGACGGTCTCTCTCGAAAACACCACTGCGACTTCGTACTCTGCACATCAGTCACTACATACGGATGCACGCACAACCAGCGTCTCAAATCATGCGATATCTGCAGTGCTGTAGAAAGCATTTCTGAGGCCGGGTGCCGCTTCTGCAACCACGCACTCGCTGCGGTGCCTCAGACTAAAGTGATGGCAGTAGCAAACACGAAGAGCCGATTCAAGGCAACCGTGGGTATGCTACTAACTGGGCCGATGGCAACTCTGCCTCTTTTTGCGACATGCGGTCGCTCTTGGCCTTGCGATGGCAAAAAAATCAAGAAAACGTTTGATCAGATTTAAAGTTTCAGCCAGGTCGTGGCGCGCCCAACCGACCACCACAATTGCAGTGACATCTCCTGCCTTCACCAGCTGGTAGATTTGTGCCTGCGAAACACGCTGTTTGCCGGCAAAGCTGGCAGCTACTTCACGCTTGTTTGCCATTGTCTAGGGCATCTCCGGCGGTCTAAGCTGTCCACCAGTTCTCCAGCCACCAGGCTTTCAGCTGCTTCAGAGAAGGCCTGCGAGCAAAATGCACAGGCACTGACCACGCACATCCCGCCAGCATTCGAAGCATTCAATCAAGCTTGATTTTCCAAGTGGTGTTCGTCAGCATGTCTATGAGCAACAAGTATCACACAGCGATGACGAGGCCCACATCGCTTAAGGCAGAGGCTGCAGACCAGATCCGTTCTGCGCAAGCCTGAATCTGGGCCTGGGCTAGCTGCCAGTCTTTGGCAGAGATTGCCTCTGTGATGCCTGGGAGAGTCTTGGCTGCGTAGCCGGTGTATAAACCTGGGGCTTGCAGGCAATGCCGGAACCACTTTCGGCCGGGCAACCCGGACTCCATCAAGAAACTACGCTCCAGAAGGCCGATCTTGTTGTTAAAGGCTACGATCTCATCGAAAGCTGGAGGGCCAAGCTTCCGCAGGCGATCGGCCTCTTCTGAAGACTTATCCGCAGCCTGAAGGAAGGCTGCAGTGGCTTGCTCGAGGGGCTCGAAGCGCAGCACTCGTTCCGGTGCCGTGTGATTCAGAGTCTGCTTGGCCTCCGCTATGTAAGAGCTGATGGCCTGAGCTTGAATTGACAGGTTCAAGGGCAGCGGCAGGTTCCCGCGGTCGTCAGAGCCGGCAAGGCGAAGGGCAGTCAGCCCCCAAACCTGTGACATGGCCACGTGGTACGTGAAGTTTGGATCACCCTCTGTTGCCATCCAGTTAAAGGAGTCGTACACCGAGTGGTAGACTCCATAATGGGCTTCCCCTGGCGTGAAGGACATGTCAAGCGAGGGTATGCCCAAGCGGTCAATGAAAACGGTATAGTCCGAACCTGAACCGAGGGAGTACAATCTGCCAGACCAATGCTCGGAGAGAGGTTTCTGAGAGGCAGGGTGGTGGACTTGTCCTAACACGCCAGAGAGCAGCTGTGCGAGGGACGGGGTTCCTGCAGCTCGGAAGTGGGCCCCTGAGACGCCAACATCGACGTTCAGGTAAGCCAATGCGCGTTTCAGCAAGGCACCGGGACCGTCTCCGTTCACCTCGCCCCATGCAGTTGAGCCCAACAGCCCATACTCCTCCCCGCTCCAAGAGCACAGGTAGATGCTGCGTAGAGGCCGCCATCCACGGCGCAGCAGTTCGCCCAAACCTTTGGCGACCTGCTACCAAGCACACTCACACTACCCGGCCTCCTCTAGTAAGGAAACAAGGAATGCCATGCAGACTCATATAACCATCTTGGCCCGACTAATCCTCAGTCGACATCCAACCCTCCCGGCCTCCAGCAACTGTGCAGTTCCACTGTTTGGATCTGCAGCTCCATACACCCAAGCATCGCGGTGGTTTCCCAAAAGGACTGGTTGATCAAGGTCAGCTGGCAACGTCCCCGGAATCTTCCCAACGACATTCCAAACAGGTGAAGACTGGAAGTGATTGTCCACCTGCATCCTCACTTTGTACTGCATCTGTGTCGGACCCGTGCGATAAGTGATGTTGAGCGCGCCTTTAAAGGAGGCCGGTGCCTCCTTGCCACCCAGGGAGTCCAGGAAAATGGCCGCATCCCCATAGGAGATGGGCAGGACGGGAATCTGGGGAATGAGCTCTTCCCGACTGTAACCACACAGTTCCTCCACGCTTTTGCCGTGAGGGGCATATGCTCGAGTTGGATCTCCGGCACACAGGGAAATGAACTGTATTGATCCTCGCTGCACGCTGCTCTCGGGCCTCCATGGCCCGTAAGGATACACACTGCCTTGGGCATAGCCGTCCTGCTCAGGGTCCGAGTAGATGGCGGCCGCGAGGGCACCGGCCTTCTGCGCGTTCATTGCCTTTAGGCCACGGAAGCATTTGCCGTAACGCATCAATGCAATTGTCCCACGGACGTCAACACCAGCAGCTTTCAAAGCAGCAAAATCTTCTGGAAGGCCGAAGTTGGCGTACACCACTGGAGCGGTCACGTCCCCAGAGGGCGAGAAAGCATTGAACGTGTGGTTTCTCCACCATGTGTCGGAAGTATTGTCCTCCTGCAGCACATCCTCGGCCAGCTTGGCTGCAGACACCACGCGTCCGGTGCTGTCTACAAGCTGAAGAGCACTTCGGATTGGATACGTGAGAAGCACCTTCTGCGGATCGAGCTCTGCAGTGATCCCCTCCCTCCGAAAAGAATCTCGCACATACTCGGCCATGTGCAGGTCGCCGACCGTTCCGGCAACATGTGGTTTGCTGGTTATGTATTCCAGAGACGCCCGAGCTGAAGAGTTCGATGGGATGCTAAGGAAGAGAGACTCTTGCCAAGAAGGCTGGGCAGCAGACTTGCTCATCGCCTGCACGGCCTCAGTGCCCAGGTCGTGGTGCGATGCCTTGCCGTCCAACGTGCAATGTCCCCTTCCAGACACAGGTAGGGTCAGTGCTACCACAATCAGAAAGCGCGGCATCGGGCACACCGAACCAGGAAGATGCCCAGAATAAGGCTTGTTTGCGAATCCCATATCCAGCATGAATCTTTGAGCCGAAGCTGACAGACAAAGACACACGACCCAAACGAGATGAACACTAGCTGAACATTACATGTTACATGTGCCCAAGCTTCGAGAGGCATGCTGAGCCATGAACTAGAGACTTCGATCATAATATGACCCACTTGGCTGGCCGAACTTCTTACTGCCTTCCCCTTTCCATGGTACTGGCTGCGCGCTTGGGGATGGCGTGTTCTTCAGCTGCTGTTCATGGCACGCACCGGCACTGACGTGTAGCGGGGTAGGCCTTCTGCAGCTGCCATGAACCGCAGCAGCTATAGTCAAGTGAAACTGTGGTCTGGTTCTGCACAAGACCAGGATCAGCTGGCAAATGCCAACAAGTAGCTCCGTGGTTTGATTAATTGTGTTATGAAAGAGTGCCACAGCCAGCACACTGACGCGCCCGCACAATCCAATCCAAACTCAATAGCCGGCTTCAGACTGTCGTCTCACGACAGGCCCTGCTTTGGCTTGAGCTTGTCCTCAGCGAGCTGCCAGCGACCAGCGAACGTGAGTCGAAAGCAGCAACTCTGCCTCTTTTCCAGAAAAGCCGGGGAGCTGTGAATCTCGTCACGGTATTGAAAGAAAGCCCTTTTCAAAATGCTGGTTTCACCTTGGATGTCCGCCAGAAGATAACTCATCCGGTGTCTGCCCAGAACGAGAGACTGTGCATGCGGAAATCAGACAGGACGCCTGTGTCCAAGTTTCGGACCAGAAACCTGGCTCTCACACAACGTGAAACAAACAAACGTGAGAGACTATGTGTAGAGCCTCCCGACTAGTCAAGTCGAGCTCTCTCCTCGAATTGGTGCCAGGCCACGGAAGCACTTTGCCTTCGTTGCGTTCTTCGGGACCCTCCTCACCGCTGAGACATGCCTGGGTCAGACCCGCGATTCAGTAGCGGCGCAGTGTGAAGAATGGCCTCTACTCCGGCCAAGGCTCCCCACCAGCAGAACCTGTTTCAGCTGTTTCAGCACTTGGTGAGGTAACAAAAACTGCAAAGCGCGCGCAGTGGCCACCACGCACGAGACGGAGGCGGCTTGTGGAACTAACGGGCTGTGCATTGTGTGCATTGTACATGAATTATATAACAGCTTGTTAGATTGCATCTTCTCCCGACGTTTGTGTCAGAGGATTGCCTACACAAGGTAGTGTGCCGCCGACACAGCTGTTTCTCGAAAGGCAAAAAAGCGGCAGAAGCCGTTAGAATCGGCACTGGCGCAGAGGCAACTTTCAGCCACACTCGGCAACATCGAATCCACGAGCCTCGCATGAAGGCGCGCGGAACTGGCACAGCAGGCTCCTCGCCTGCAGCCGCAAGAGGGTTTGGAAGCGCAAGGGTATCGGATCGTGCCAACTTCCATCGGACAATCCAGGGACAGTCGGCTAGGTGTGGTAACGGTCGACTTGATGCTATTTTCCCGCACGCTTGAATCCGCTGGATCTCGTGCTATGAGGTCCGTCTGACACGATCAAGGGTGAGGGATCAAAAACACGTGTTGAAGTTCTGCCAGTCCCTGCGCTCCGCTCATCAGAGCTGCCCCATCCCCAATTTTCAGAAGATGGGCTCGGCTGCAAGACCGAATGCACCGCAAACGTACAGCAACTCTGTGTCACGGTTTTCGCTGCAAAGTTAGCTGCTTGAGGAACAAGCACTAACACTCGTAATTCACGGTTCTGTCAATCTTACCTCGGGCACGCCGCTTATGCTGTCGTCGAATATGCAAAAGGCCATGGAAAGGCCCCTGGAGCAAATTGGGAAAAAGGTTGGGTGTCTCTTCATGTACATAACTGACCTCGAATTCGTTTCTTCGGCTCAACTAAAACCTGACTCCTATGGTATCATGGAAATGTTCGCCTCCTATCTTCGGTATCGTAGAAATTGGTGCCCAGCTCTTCGCTAACGGCCATCGATACTGCGGCCAGGCTTTTGCACTCAAAGCTTTCGAGCTTAGTGCGGAGCATGCTCTGTTCTGCCCGCAGTTCGGGCCAGGCTCTCCGCGGCTCACGTTCCACCCTCCTCGGCGCAGAGTAGCACCGCAGGCTTCTGCCCTGGCACCCCAGTGCTGGGGTGCAATATTTCAATATGACCACTCTCTTCGACGGTGGTCTCGTGGTGCTGCTTGCTGGTGCCCTTGCGGTCTTTTGTTCTTTCTCTCGCCCTGCATTCTGACGATTTTGACGCGAAATTGCCTTTTAATCGGGGTTTCTTGATCAAGGGAAAGATTGCATCTGATGCCTACTTTGTTTAACCCCTATCCCTGCTGTTCAGGTGTGCACAGCAGTTGGAAAATGCATCGGGGATGTGCAAATTGTGCGGACACCTACTTGCAACAGTTCTTTGAGGCACCCCTGGGCGTGGCAGCATGGACTGAATAAACGCAGTAAGGAAGGCCTGCCTTCTTGCGGCACAGGTGTGGGAACTGCACGCGGTACTGCCTGAACTGCCCAATGCACTTGGCCGGTGTTCAAGTCCTTGACGACCTTGACTGAGGAGCGGAGGCTGTTGATGGACAACCCAAGACGTCCGTTCAGATAACATTTCGGGCAAGCCGCTGTCAGCTGAGCATCCTCCTGGCCAGAAAATGCTTCTGAGAATGCACAAACCACTTCTACTTGTTTTTCAAGAAATGACTCGAAGAGGCAGGGGCCTCCCAACTGTAAGCTGCCTCCAACGCCGAGAGCCTGGAAAGCTGTGTACCCATTCGCATTCACAAAGACACACAAATGCGAGCCCGGTAGCTGCCAATCACATGCAGCCGGGTGGCAGTCTGTGAGAGACCTTGAAAGATGAGGCTGTCTTCAACAGGCCCTCGGACTGATGCGTGCGTGTCCTTCGCTTCCGGGGTCAGGCGGACATGTAACATCAGAACGCGTCACAACAGCAGCGACACTTGGGCTTTGCTGCCAAAGCAGCTGCGCAAACTTCCTTAAGAAGCTCAGGGCAAAGCACCTGAGCGGCAACTGCATGACGATGGACCCACTGCACACTGCCTGCAAAAGCAGTACAAGCAAAACACTGTAATACGAGACGCGATCAGGTGACGAAACACATCCACAATGCCTGGCACAAGCCTTGCCGTCTAGTAACGTTTCCATGTCACCCAACTCGTCCTGAATGCTGTACAACAATGCCAGGCCAACTTGGACGATGATGCGCCACCCCGCGACCAGAAATCCTGGGCTTGCAATTGCTCGGGCAACGAGCTGGGTTCCTGCTCCCGGGAGGGGAGCGTGTGCCCAACCAAAACCACCCCATGCTCTGCCAGGAGAGTTGAAGGATAAGCCAGGCCGCTATCCCAAATCCGGCGCACCACCTTTTGTGGCAAGTCGCTGGCAAAGAGGGAGAGGAACCTTTGTTGCAACATGCTCGAAGACTGAGGGTGGCTCAAGGCCAGCTGAGCCAAGCAGCCACTGGATGGCGTAGTACTCGGAGTTGACACCGTGCTTTGTTAGAGCATCATGGACCTTTGGCAAAAAGCCCTCGACGATGCGATCGAACTGCCAGATGATGACCTGAAGTACGCACATCCGCAGGTCACCACTCCACATGCCCGGTTTTTGTGGAGGAAGGTCAGGTGCGGCTCTCTTAAACCGTCGGCTCCAAGAGGGTCATTCGTGGACGTGAGTGACGAGGTGCCCCAAGCTTTGGAAATTTCGGCCGGTACAGATCCTTGGATACGGAACACATGTCTGATCGGCATCTGCTGCCCGACGCCGGCAACAAACCAGAAACCGGAGCAGGTCATCAAGGCAAGCAGCCACCAGCGAATGCCGAAGCAGCAAGGCTAAAGAACAGTTGAATACCAGCGCCTCGTCATCGGGGAAGACCTCTTGGACTTCAACAGCCAAGCTCGGTCGGTGCCACGAACATCTCGCCAGGTTTATCAACGACTTGCACTACGAATCTTGACATGCAGGGATCCACAGTGCTCCCCATGTTGCGGCGCACCCCAATAAGCGTTGCCACGATGAAGTTAAGACTTTGGCCTCGGCATCGTCGCACGCCAGTTAGGTTCTTCCGGACAACGGGGAGTGAAGCCTGTCTATGCCGTTCTGCTCCTCGAGACCTTGTGAAAGGATGTCAAACCGAGCTCTCTGCATCCAAACCGCTCTCGAGCCGAAGTTTCGAAAGGCCCACGGAAGTTCAACCACGCAGGGGATTCCGCAGTGCAGGCTCTGGGTTCTGTCGCCCAAAGTCTACGAGTCTACATACTTCATGCCTGCTTTGCTGCGCTGTGATGCACATGCAGCGAAAGCGGGAGTAAAGAGGCCATTGCAGGCAAGGGACAGTAGCCGACATCCCACAGGCGGATGGCCAGCGCCCGGAGCAATCTGCACGCTACGGGCTGGCAAGATGCCAGCGGATCGGATGGGAAGCGAGTGGATGCATTCCGCTTCCCTGCCTGAAGAGCGCTTGTTGACCCTTCCCCTGACGCTCGCGGAAGAGCTCCTCTTGCGGGAGCGTACGATGTACATCTCGCCTGAGACCAGTCGTGTGTGGAACTGGGCAATCCCACATTGACATGCTTCCTCTCATGCTACAGCCGCTAGAAGTCTTCTAATGATGTCTTCTTGCAGTTGCACCTGATCGCCGAGTCAAACTGCGACGTCTGGTTGCAAAGCTGTTCCTTTGTTCGGAGCCCATACCATGGAGTACTGTCTGTAGACTTGCAACGGACCGTCTCTGCACTACTGCTCGGCAAGGCTCGTAGTCATCCTGGGGAGTCCCAGCTCGCTGCTGGAGTTTGATGCCACCCAGGAGGAGCTCCTCCACATTCGTGTGCGGACGGGGCATGTCGTGCAGCACTTCCAGGCTGGCAAAAACACAATTCCACACAAACTTAACATTGCAAAATACGGCTACAGTGCTGTCATCATGAGTATCACCCATGTCATCCTCTTCAGCAGCTGCAGAAGCAGTATCATACTGATGACCATCATCATCGTCAGCATCATCGCTATCATCATCAGCAGCAGAAGCAGCTGTCGCTGCAGGAGCGGCAGCAGCATCGTCTTCTTCTGGGCGCAAGTTCAACTCCTACCATGATGGCACAATTGCCCCTCGCCCGCAATCCTTCCAGGCCGGACCACGGTGCTCACCGAGGTCTTCGGACCACAAGGCCTTCCATGCACCCCTCTGCAGCTCGAATCCGAAAGGTTCTGAGCAACCGACCTCCACGATCGGCTGGGAGACGCCACCGGGCCTGTCTCGAGACGGCCCACAGCTTGCCATGTGCTTTTTCCTCGGCGCCCGACGGCTCGTCACAGGAGTCGCGACCTGCTGCCGCCAGCCTTGACATGTTCGGATGGTCGAGGCTTTCCTCCACTCAGAATATCACTATACAGATAAGGCATTAATATCTCCCCGCAGACCATTATGGGCTGGATTTGTTGGAAATTCTATTGCGTTACCAGCCGCCCCCCCGCCCCACACCGCAACCGGCACAGGTCCGTGATCAAGCTCTGCAATGTATAGTTTTGCACATCTCTCTAGAGTCTTCTGCTGCAAACTCTCGGTGCGCTCGGCGATCTCTTCTTAAGTGCCGATGCACTTGCAACGTCCTGTCAGCAGAGCTTTCCGAGAAGGGTGCCAGAATAGCAACGTTCGTTTAACAAGGGTGGGGGATTTAGATGGCTTGATTTCGACTCTTTGCTAGCTTTGATTACTCAATTAAATCCCAAGACATCCTGAGATTCTTTAAGGGTCTGTAAGCACTGTAAGGCATAGCGGGTGGCGGTGAGACATTTCTGTTGCCTTAACCTGGCCCCAGTACACCCCGCCATACCCCGCCCTCGGCAAGGATTTTCTAGGAGTAGCGATGTCAGAATACTCAGATTTGTGCTCGGGCCGAGTTCGAGCCTCTTCCACCATGAGCAGACTGTTCGGCACCGACGCACCTGAGCATTTGTTAAGCACATACCAACGCATATCAACGCATGCAGCACAGTCAAGCTTACGCGCGCTCCGTTTTCACAGCCTAAGCGTCGCTCCAAACCAGCCCACACAAGGGGTCACGCTCTCTCAACCCTCTGCATTCTGCCCTGAGGCCCACCTCCGGGACTGTCAAGTTCTCCCGGAACTCAGCGAACAGCCGTGGCCACGGAAGTTCAGAAGGTTGCCCTCCACCTGTGATGCACTGTGCTTAGCCCGCTTCTTCTTGGGGTAAGGTGTGGGGTTTTTGACTGGGGTCTCGTCGGACGGCTCGTAATGATTCGGCGTCTCGACTTTGGACGGGTTCAGGAAGAATGCAGTTCGAGAAGGCCGCGTGGAATGCCACTTATGTGGTGTCTGTTCAACTTCGTCGAACCCCAAAGGCCACCCACAGCAAACCATGCCAGCCTACAAGAAACCACCGGAACCCTTGAGAAATTCCATGCCTCACCGTTCATGTGTCGTGCGATGCCAGCTTCTCACTATAATCGTTCCCCTAGAGTTATGGGCGAAGTTCGGGAAACGTCGCGCGACTTTCTGGGTGTTGATGGGGTTCTTGCTGTTGACCAGTATTGGCCAGTAGATTACACTTGTCTCATTCATTCCTATGGTTTTCCAACATATCATCCCTTTTCCCTACAAGCTCTGCGCTAACGACGGTT